AAAAAAAAAAATCAGTTACGTTCTGTCTATTGCTGACACAATACTTACAAAGAGAAAGGAATTAGGAATACAAGAATACAACCTGAGGCGAAAAGTTAAAGGGCTACCAATTGAGTAATAAACATCAGCTGCACAAAGATTAGAGTCCTTCGTCCACTTCTGGTAGCCCACAAGGTTTTCTCTCTGTGCCCAGTAAGGTAAAAGCATTAACTCCTGATTTGATGAGCTTGAGCTGCCCCATTTGCGATTCAGATGTTCCAATATGGATGATATTTTCTTTCGCGTACTCAAAGTTAGCTCTAGATGTGGATTACGATTATCCTGCAAAAATAAACAGAAACACACAATTCCTAAATCACTTTTCAGGAATTACTTTAAACCACGACTTTGTCAGAAAATATAATGATCAATCAATACAAAAACGGACATCCTTTCAACCTTACCATTTCTAAGGCTTTACGGGTACATTCATCAATCGGAAACAATTGGAGCTTTAATTTCATGGAGTTATTACTATTATTCTCATTGGACTTGATCTCTGGAGACGTCTGTTGTGCCACTTCCGGAACAAGTTTAGAGCCGTCATGTCCTGAACATATCAGTGGGATTAAGACGACAGTTTTATATATTTTAAAATCGAGTTCAAAAGGGTTTAGGAGATATATGCAACCCACCTGGAGTTTCCTGAAAATTCACTCCTCCTTTGTTGGTGTCCACTTTTTCCAAATGTTCAGCAGCATCAGCAACCAATGAAACCCCAGCAATTGCCGCCTTTTCCCATCTTTTATATGCAGCTGCTGATGCAAGTCCTGTACGGTATATTTGGCAATAACATATTAAACCACGTTTAAACAAAAAAAAAAAAAGGACAGTAACAAAAAACACTTCGAGTCATGAGGTCTATGGCACTTATGTTGTTGGACATTCATAAGTAATGCCATACAGATATTCCATATGCAACCTATGATTGTATATCCTCATTAACTAAACAAGCAATGTGATATAAATGCCTGCATTATCATATGCAGAAACAAATAAAAGCTGGATAGATTATGTGCATAACCTCAGCTGATAACAGACATACACAACACAACAAAAATAAATTGGAAACACGAATTAATCGCAAGATTTAATCAAAGATCTACCTGTTTTCCTCCGTAGTTTTGCAGTTTTGGCAGAAGTAGGGTCGATTTTGCAATTGTTACGACCGGTTTCCATAGGCATATTGCGCTTCAATGAAGCTCCTTTTCCGGTTCCAACTTTTGGAATGTTTTGGCTGTCGACAAGAACTGCTTTTACCGAACGGTTATCATGCCCTGGTGGTCTGACCTGATTTGAGGTTGGCACGCTTGAAACAGGAGGATTATTTTCTCCAGTTGAAAGCCGCTTCTTGGTATTCTTTTTACGGTCCTTCATCAGTTGATTCTCCTTCACGATGAAGAATAATCAGCAAGATCATAACTGAGAATTTCATATTCACGGTAAGTTAATAGTCCCAAAACGAACCAGAGTTTCCACAAATATCTTGAATCTCCGAGGTTTCAAATGGAGTTTCGAGGGTTTACAGCTGTATTTTTCCAATAATGACCACCTGCAATATATTGGGATATAATTAGAGCAATAAAATGGAAGTTCCATCATACAACCAAAAAAGTAAAGAAAAGATTGTCGTCTATCCAGGTAAGGCAAGCAAAGACTTTTAGAGCAGAAATCTGTGAACTCTGAAGAATGAAGCAGAGAAATGAGGACCAATATTCGGGGATAATACTTCCTTTCCCCACTCAGATTACAAAAATTCAGCCAAAAATGTAACATGTTGTGAAAATAAATATTTGCAAGCGCCAATTTGAATTTTCTGCTAACAGTTTATAGTTACCATCGAAGCATAGCGGCGTTGGTGTCTTTTGAGTTTTTGGCATCAAGGGAAAGTTCAGGGCCCAGCAATTTATTCATCCGCCTCACGAGACGATAGTAGTAATGCCTAACCTGTATTGCAGAGATGAAAGAGAAAGTATAAGAGTAAGAACATGCTGAGGAAAGAAAGAGAATTGAGAAAACTATCAATTTCATAAAAAAATCACCTGATCCTTGTTTTTGCTCTGGACACGGCAAGTGATTTTCTCAAAATTCTGCACGAAAAAACAAGATGGGTTTCCATTATCAACAAAAATACATTCACCAGAGATAAAGCACATTTATTTTAAATAAATAAAAAATAAATTGATATTTCAGCAATGGTAGCAGATAGTTTGCCTTGCCGACTTGTCGTAGAGCAGCAAAAAAGCTTTCTTCCTCATCACGAGTCCAAGCAGCCCACTGCCTCGGCTTCTTAACTGCATTTTCAACGAAAACCCAATAAGCACAGATTTTTGGCCAATTAATTCACATCGTTAAAGTAATAAGATATAAGATTACCAGGCATCTGTGGAGCAACATTTTCTTGAGAGGCTGACGGCACACTGGTATGACCATCCTCGTTCGGCGGATTATGAGGACCGAGGGCAAGCTCACAGTCTAATAACGAAACCTGTGACACCATTTCTATATTCTATCTTTTCAATCACACAATCAGACATCCATGCGTTCTGAGATCACACAGTCTCGTAAGATCGAACATACATTGTCTGAAGGCAAACGCCTGGTAGAAAAAAGGAGAAATCAGTAAAGAACTCGATGAAAACTATATTTAAGATCTAAACATGTGTTAACATCAAGATGATAGTTTTCTTGTGACTTGTGAGTAAATATCGTATAGAAACAACACTAGGCATTTATTCTGAGTTTCGAAAAAACACTACAGCTCCATCAATGGCAAGCACAGGTACTCAATCAAAAGGAACCCTAGCTCGCACCTTAACCTAAGATTAACAATTCAATAATTTCAGCTCATGGGCAGTCGAATAGACAAAAATCCCAAATCAGAATTGAAATTCACAGGCCACACGGCAAGAGAACATTCACGAGTGGCTCAGACCAAGTAAAAATCGGCATGTTCATGGAGCAATTAGGGTTTCGACCTTATATCAACACAATCAAGTACATGAACGATCTTCAAGCAGTAGAATTCCAACAAAAAATTTAAGCGAGAACAAATTGTAGCTCCATTAAAAAAATAAAAATAAAAATCAACTCACCGACTAAATTCACCAAACTATGCATCCAGAAGAAAAAAAAATTACAAAATCAATAAATTTGGGGGAAAAAAAACCCTAAGATCTAATAATCCGAAAAGCTAAATATACTCCAATATGTATAAAGTACTAACTGATTTCCAAAAAAAAAAAAAAAAAAANAAAAAAAAAAAAAAAAATGGTGGCTTATGAGAGATTTGCGTACCAGAACACAAAATCAAGATAAGCAGGAGGATGAAGAGCAGAGATTAATTTGAAAAATTAAAAATGAAAAAAAAATGGAAAAAAAAAACAGAGACATGACTTTGAACTGCAGTTAAAAAAGTTCAAATTAATATTGCAAAGGGATATTATTAATATTTACTGGAAAAATTGAGAGAAAAAGTATAAAACAGGGGAAAAATCTACCTGATTGGAGTTTTTGATTGTTTTTATTATTATTATTATTATTATTATTATTATTATTATTATTATTATTATTATTATTATTATTTATTGTTATTATTTATTGTATTTTTGACTGGAAAATATTGCTTTAATAATTGACCTATTTGGGTGATAATATTTATGGTGAAGGAAAATTGGAAAAATGTTCAATTACGTGTCCTTATCTTTTTACTTGCGTATTAACCGCATATGGTATGCTAACAACACGGGCTAAATGAACTAAGATTGATGTAGGTAAGTGGGAGTATAACATTAAAAGGTCCAACAGATTTCTTATAATTTTGTCAATAATTAATTGGACTTATGATAAGAAATCACAATATATAGAGTCCAAGTTTCATAACCAACCTATCTTATCCCACGAGAACGTCTAAAGCAGGACTCGCCCTCGAATTCGATCCGATCTCGTTGCCGGCGTCATATGTTGTCCAATACACAAATGTTGATCTCAAATGGAATCGTCCTCCGTATATCCATCAATCGAGGAAGATAACTTAAGTAGCCAAATAAAGCATGTCAACCCACCTCCATGTGGCTCTCTTGTACATCGACAAAAGACCCGACTTCTCCACGGAAGAAACACCGTGATTCATGAATATCAATTGCGATCCCCACATGTCGCAACACGCGTCCTCCAGCCGTTTGTACGAAGCAAGAGCATCATTTTCATCGTTTCTCTTAATCTCTGAATTAGGCAAAACTATGACACACACAACTTCACAATGTCTTTGTCGAGCAGACACAACACGCAACACTCTGAATTGTTGGATGCACTAAAAGAACAGCTTCGATTTCCAAGACAGATAATTTATATCCCTCAACCTTCATAATATCAACATCAGTACGACCCAATATGACATAGTATTCATCTACTGCAATTATCTTGGCCTCCACACCAGGAATTGGCTTGCCAACTGTAGCACTTTTTTCTTGTGATTAAACGAGTTTGACAATGTCATGACAAACTCGGTCAAATTGTCATCCGACCTCGGAAGATCCTCATCGCAATCTGGTGGTCCGTCGTAAATGTCGTTCACGCTGACGTCACTGGTCTCCTTGAAAACAATGCATGTGTCCCCGCTAGCAGAGGACAAGCAGCCTGCCAGTAGTCGACCTCGCCGCAACCAAAGCAAAGCAGTCCGCTGACAGCCCGCTGAACACCTGCTGTTGCGACCTGACCACCAGACTCGGTCCCTGCCACGCGTTGAGCACCTCTATTGAGTGTGGTCGTGCGCCCATCCCATGGCGCTAACCCCGTCGCGACACCCGCGCCAGTCACGGTGCACCCAGATTGCAGGCCCAAGCCTTCGACCTCGCGGCGTGGCCCGCAGAAACAAGCGTCGCCCATGCTCTCATCGTATCGGAGATCGTCCCGCCACCTGAAGTCTTCATCGTCTTGTTGTGCCTGTCGAAAGTCGAAGGGATTGGTCCAACAGCGTCTCTTGGCCTTCATCCTCGTCGTGAATCGGTGGTGGCATACGCTGACGGGGCGCCCCGTCAGGCCCTCTTCTGCCACAACCTTCGCGATAACCCCCGCGATCGCCCCTGCCTGGCAAGTCGCGGTTCGTTTGCTTGTCCCAAACCATGGTATGGAGAGTTAGACATATGTCCCCGATCTCCGCAGACAGATCAAGTTTTAGATGGGATCACACCTGTCGTCTGCAGCATCTTGTCTCCGATGCAACATCGCGAATCGTGTAGACTTTTGATACCAACTGATATAGAGCAACGTACGAGTGGGAGTAGAAGAGTAATACCTCAACATATTTCTTATAATTTCATCAATAACCAACCGACCCTATGACAAAATATCACAATATATAGAGTCCAAGTCTCCTAGCCAATCTATCTTGCCTCACAAGAAAGATTAAATAAATATATACTTACCAACTTAAACAACACTAATTAAGGGAATAAAATAGTACGAAAAATAAATAATAATAATAAAGGACATGAAAAATAAATAAATATTTAAGATCTTCATTGTTAATCAAAGATCAAACAAATAAAAGTAGATTATTAAACACTATAAACCTTTTCAAAATGTTATAAAAACAGCTAGCTAGCATGTGTACATTCTAAATTTTAAGCACATTATCATAGCAAACTTATATTGACCTTTACAATTGTTGTTGTGATTGTGGCAATTGCTTGACATGGTTGTGTAACAAAAATTAAAGTTCACATGATGTATACCTAATTTGATTAGCAAATGTTAGTTGTTAGGTTGGTAACTGGTAGGCTTTTATTATTCATTGTAAAAAATGAATACTTAAATAGTATGAATGTTATACTTTTATTTATATATTATATTTTAAAACATTACATTTTAATGCAAAAGTATATGCATTTGTTGTAAGAGTATGTATTCAAATTAGTAGACAACCCACACAAGACCTATGAAAATTGATTTTCTCTATTCATTTTTTAAAAAAAAAAAAAATAAAAAATAAAAAATAAAAAATAAAAACACAAAATTTATTCATACAATTACTCTCATTAATTATTCAAATTCATACCTATGTTTGTTGTTGGCTTTCAAGACCCAAAGATATACATACAAGGCCATATATATATATATATATATATATATATGTGTGTGTGTGTGTGTGTGTGTGTGTGTGTGTGTGTGAGAGAGAGAGAGAGAGAGAGAGAGAGAGAGAAATTGGATTATTAAGAGCTTGAACTAATAATAGCTCAGGTTACCCACAATGTGAAAATTTTTAATTCAACAACTTACAAAATTTGAAGTAATAACTAAATATATCACATTACATTTTTCAGAACCAATTGGCACACAAATGCTATAATTCTTTTGCAAGCAGAAATAAAAAATCATACTTACATGATCATATAAAAATATTACTCACCCATCTCTCTTAACTAATTAAAATTAGATCCAAGCATTTTATAGGAATAAATGATTCATAGTGTCCATAATTGTGATAGACGACTCTTTTATATAATTTTCTCATGACATTACAAGAAATTGATGAAATTTCAACAAAAAATCCAACGGAAATATATTCTAATGGAATTCCTAACAAAAAATCTAATGAATATTTCCAATGTTATTATTTTCGTTGGAATTTTTCCAACAAAAATTCTAACAAAAATATTCTGTTGGAATAATATTTTCATTAGTATTTCTGATGGATTTTGAAGATTTCAATGGTAGATTTTCCAACGAGTGTGGAAATGAAAAGTCTAACGGAAATGACATATTTCAACAGAAATTCCTACAGTAAAAAACTGTTGGAAAAATAGTAGTTGAAATCATTAAATTCCATCTAAAATTTCAGTAGAAAACTCATTCCATCGGAATATTTCCGTTGGAATCATTCCAACGAAAGCTATATCATTAGAATACTTGTTGGAATTTCTATTGAATTGCATTACGTAGGATTTTTAGTTAGAAAATAACAAATTTTTTGTGGTGTGAGAAGATATTCACAACAAAGACACTTGAAAATTAAATTCAATTTTTCAAAAAAATAAATAAATCAGATTCATCTAAAGTCATGTGCAAGACATTGGTAAATCAATACTGCATGAAAATAAATAAATAGCAAATGAAAAAAAAAAAAAAAAAAAAAAAAAAAAAAAAAAAAAAAAACATCAATCAATTAAGAGCCAAACCTAATCAATAATAAACAGTGTTAAAAAAACTTTATTACTATTGAATGTTTCCACTATAGTTTATGTGCATACACACAAATTCAACCAAATGCTCACATGGATCTATCTCATCGATATAGTCTTTTATTCAATCGATATAGTTGTAAAATAAGAAATTAAACTATAAAGTATAAACATGTTACCTCTTGTATCATCTTATGGTAAGTTGTTTCCCTATCACCCATTTCCATCTCCATCGATGTCGATTCAACCTTCGAAAAAATCATTTTGGAAAATGAATTCGCTCTCGGTGTAATAGAATATAAATAGTTGTTATTTGCCT